GTGGGGGGAAACTCTTCCCCACCTCTACATTGGATTTGGTCTCAGAATACCAGAATAGATTGTTTACATTCATTTTTCTTGTACTAAGCCTTCAGAACTGGTGTGCCTCACCCTTATGGCACATTGTAGAGCCATTTACAGCACACATCCTTATAGCTACCTTTCAAGTGGTCAATTCACGTATGGTGACAGGCTGCCATATTGGACAGCATGGCTCTAGAACATAACTCTACAGGTGGAATGCCGGGTCATGGTTCAGCACTTCCTCAGTTTATTAGCAGATGCTATTCTCCCGTAAAGCATTTATATCAACTTATATTGCAACAACCATTACTCCACACTTTCACTAACACTTGGTATTTTCATTTTTTAAACAAGATTCTTATTTATTAAAAAAAAAAGATTATTTATTTATTTATTTATTTATTTATTTATTTATTTGAGAGAGAACGAGTGGGGAGAGAGGCAGAGGGAGAGGGAGAAGGAGACTTTCTACTGAGCTCAGATCCTGATGTGGGGCTCAATCCCAGGACCCTGAGATCACAACCTGAGCCAAAGTCAGATGCTTAACCAACTGAGCCACCCAGATGCCCCAACATTTGGTGTTTTCAGATACTTTAATATTTACCAATGAGGAGCATGTATGAGTACAATGAGTGTCCTCTTATGGTAGTATCTTAATTCTGGTTGCTAATGAGGTAGAGTAGCTTTTCATTCATTTATTGGCTAATTGTATGCTAACTTTTATGAGGCACCTGCTCATGGGAGCCCATTTCCGTCTGTATTTTCTTATTCTTATGAATTTGTAGAAATTCTTATATTACAGACACTGATGGTTATATGCATTGTAAATTTCTCCTCTCACTAGTGGCTGGTGATTTATTACTGCTATTGTTCCATCTCTCATAAAACAATAAGTCTTCCATCCATCAGCACTTGGTTTGGGGCCTGATATGAGCTAGGGATCCAATTTCATTTGACTGCATTTAGATCCCCAGTTACCCACATACAGTATTGAAAAGTCTATCTTTTTGTCACTTCTTTGTATCTCCTCCTCTGTTATACAGGATGTTTCCTGTGGTTAGGGACTACTTCTAGCTTCCCTATTTTGCTCTATGGGTCTATTGGTCTATCCCTGTGTCAGTACAACACCATCTTATTTTCTATAACATTGTAACATATCCTGATATCTTCCAGATTCCCTCCTTGCGTGTTGTTCTTCATAATTGCCCTGGGTACACTTGGAAATTTCTACCTCAATATAAATTTTTAAAAGATTTTTAAAAGTTTTTGGGACGCCTGGGTGGCTCAGAGGTTGAGCATCTGCCTTTGGCTCAGGGTGTGATCCCAAGGTCATGGGATCAAGTCCTGCATCAGGCTCCCCTTGTGGAGCCAGATTCTCCCTCTGCCTGCGTCTCTGTCTCTCTGTGTGTGTGTCTCTCATGAATAAATAAATTCAGGATCATGCCCTGAGTCAAAGGCAGATGCTCAACCTCTGAGCCACCCAGGCGTCCCTGATTTTAAAAATTTTTAAGTAATCTCTGCACCTAATGTGGGGCTTAACCTCACAACCCTGAGATCAAGAGTCTCATGCTCTACCTTGAGCCAGCTAGGCATCCCTTCAATATAAATTTTATAATGAGGTTATCAAGTTCCACAAAAATCACCAGGGGGATTGGGTAATTATATTGCTCTGATTCTGCATATTAATTTAGATTCACTTGACATTAATACAATATTGGGTTTTTTAAACGATTTTATTTTTTTTTTAAATTTATTCATGAGATCATGACCCGAGCCAGAATCAAAAGCCAGCTGCCCAACAGTCTGAGGCATCCAGGCCACCGTATGGCATCTTTTATTTTTAATTTAAAAAAAAAGATTTTATTCACCTACTTGAGAGAGAGAGTGAGATAGTGAGAGCACAAGCCAGAGGAGAGGCAGAGGGAGAGGGAGAAGCAGACTCCCTGCTGAGCAAGGAGCTCAATGCAGGGCTGGATCCCAGGGGTATAAATTAGTGCAGTATGGAAGTTCCTCAAGAAATTAAAAATAGAACTACCATATGATCTAGTAATACCACTTCTGGTATATATCTGAAGGAAATGAAAGAACTAAGTCAAAAAGATATATGAACCCTTGTGTTCACTGCAGCATTATTTAAAGTAGCCAAGACTGGAAACAACTTAAGTGTCTATCCGTAGATGAATGGATAAAGAAGATGCAGTTTATACATACACGATGGAATATCCTTCAGCCATAAAAATAAGGAAATCCTGCCATTTGTGACAACACAGATGGACCTCCTGGGGAGTATGCTAAGTGAAATAAGTCAGACAGAGAAAGACAAATACTATGTGATCTCATTTATAAGTGAAATATAAAAAACAAGAAACAAAAAACAAAAAACTTATAGATACAAAGAACACATTGTTGGCTGCCAGAGGCCAGGGGTGGGCAGAATGGATAAAGGAGGTCATAAAGTAGAAACTTGCAGGGCACCTGGCTGGCTCAGTCCGAAGAACATGTAACTCTTCTTGATCTTGGGGTCATGAGTTCAAGCCCCATGTTGGGTGTAGAAATTACTAAAAATACAAATAAATAAAACTTGGGGGAGGAGTACAAATTCCCAGCTGTAAAATAAGTCCTGGGGATATAATGCACAGCATAATGACCATAATTAATAATGCTGTATTGTATATTTGAAAGTTGCTAAAGGAGTAGATCTTAAAAGTTCTCATCACAAGGAAAAATGTGTAACTATGTATGGTGATGGATGTTGACTAGACTTAGTGTGGTGATCATCTTCCAATATATACAAATATTGAATCACTGTGTTGTACACTCAAAACTAATGTTTTTTAATAAATATTTTATTTATTCATTCATGAGAGACACAGAAAGAGGGAGGCAGAGACATAGGCAGAGGGAGAAGCAGGCTCCTCACAGGGAACCCGATGCAGGACTTGATTCCCAGACCCTGGGATCATGTTCTGAGCCAAAGGCAGACGCTCAAACTTGAGCCACCCAGGTGTCCCAAAAACTAATGTTATATATCAAAAGTATTTCAATTTAAAAAATCTTTAAAAAGACTAAAAACAAACAAACAAACAAACAAACAAAAACCCCTCAAGCTGGGTACTTAAAGTGGTCCAAGATTTCTAGGCAGGGCTCCATTCACCTCCCAACATCTGGATAACAAATCCTTCATGATGAGTTCCCTCTGCTGAAACACATAGTATGGCTTCATTTTTCATGATTGGTCCTTGGCCGATTAAATCTCAAGAGATAAAAATTATTAAGCGTTGATTTCAAGCACTTTCATAAAAGTGCTCAGCTAAATGGAAATAAAAAGCTTCCTGGGCAGCCTGGGTGACTCAGCGGTTTAGCACCGCCTTAGGCCCAGGGTGTGTTCCTGGAGTCCAGGGATGAGTCCTGAGTCCCGAGTCCCAACGTGGGCTCTCTTCCTGTGCTCTCTTCCTGTGATGTTTGTTCTGGCAAGACTCCAATTAGCACTGGCCTCTGAAAACAGCTCTGCAAAAGCTAGCTCTGAGGCAATTGCCTCAAATTTGCCAGATAAGTACCAAGATTACGGTAATCACAAACAGGAGAAGCACCAGAATACAGATGTTCTTGTGAGATTTTTTTTTTCTGATAGTAAAGCAGCTTGCTGTAACTGACCAGTGGCTCTGTCTGCAAGCACCTTTGAGCTTTCCACATTGGCTTTTCTATGCATGCTGTCAATTGGGTCATCTTGGTCATGGATCGTCATGGCCAGATCTTTAAACATCTGAAGGGCATCCAAAATGTCAGTATGCAGCTGCCAAATTGCCTTTTCTCACTCTTTAATAAATTCCAGTACCTGCTCCATGATGACCCACCTCATTCTCCTGGCTCTCTGTGTCTGGTCCCACTCCTGTGGCCATCAAACAAGGGGAGCTGCTCTCTCTTTGCCTCTCCTCTGCAGAGAGAGGAGATTCACCTCTCACTCTGGCTATACTCTTCTTTTCTTTTCCAGATCCGTTCCCTACACAGCCTAGAAATCCTTCACAGCCTCAGAGAAGTCATTCAGGAGGCCATCTTTCTCAGGTTCTGGGTTATTCATTTGTTTCCCCAGCCAGCTGATTTGTGGAATATTGCAACTGTTGCAGATTTTCCTCTGGTTGCTTGAGTCCTGCTTACTTCCTAGTTGGCTCATCAAATTCTTTATCAGGGACGCCTGGGTGGCTCAGTGGTTGAGCGTCTGCCTTTGGCTCAGGGCATGATCCTGGAGTCCTGGGATTGAGTCCTGCATCAGGCTCCTCCACAGGGAGCCTGATTCTCCCTCTGGCTGTGTCTCTCTTTGTGTCTCTCATGAATAAATAAATAAAATCTTTAAAAAAATTCTTTATAGAGCCGTGGCTCAGCAGATATGCTGCGTGTGGTTGCAGTGGGTCTAGATGAAATCCTGGAGCTGAGGCTCAGAGGGCTACAGGTTTGGTACATGTCTAAGGGACTGTAGGACATGATGAAGAGCCAAGACCTACTGCCCTTGCCTGGCATTCCCCGAAGCAGCCCCTGGACTGGACACAGAGACTGATGGGGAACTGGGAAGAGAAAGAGCTGGGGGAAGGAGTTGAGGCTGCCTGCATACTCCCTGTTTCTCTTTTCTAGTGTCTCTGGCCCTTTGCTGAACTCACTCTTGATTTAAACATCATTTGGAAGGTAATCACTGTCCAGACTTACATCTGGACAAGCATGCCAGCCTCCTTTGGAAATCCCCAATACAGCCTCAGTATTTTAACCTGCTGTGTCAGATGCAGAGGTGAGACATAATAATTTCTCAGCCCCCACCTCACCACCCACCATGGCTCCTGTTGCCCAAGTTCCCCATCCATGGTGACCACAGCTCTGTCACACACTGCTTCCTGTTGGGGCTTCCTCGGCCTCACCCCCTCCTTCAGGGCATTTCCTTCCCTGACAGAGGGATCTACACCCATGTTCCTGCCCTGGTGGCTGCAGACATGCTACCCCTGCTGCTGCTGCCCCTGCTGTGGGGGGGTAAGTGGGCCAAGAAAAGGGGGTTGGGCACAGGTGGGAGTGGGCTGGACCCACCGCCAAGCCTCTGTGTCCCCCCAGGGTCCCTGCAGGAGGATGCACAGTATGAGCTCCGAGTGCAGGAATCAGTAACAGTGCAGGAGGGTCTGTGTGCAGACGTGCCCTGCTCTTTCTCCTACCCCTGGAGCTGGTGGTATTCCCCTGTGATCCCATATATGTACTGGTTCCGGGATGGGGACAACATATACAATTCCCAGCCTGTGGCTACAAATAACCAAAGGATAAAGGTGAAGACAGAGACCCAGGACCGATTCTACCTCATCGGGAACCCCTTGGACAGCAACTGCTCCCTGAGAATCAGAGAGGCCATGACGAGCGACCAGGGAGTCTACCAATTCCGAGTGGAGAGAGAGAATGTGAGATATACTTACAGAGATAAGAAGCTGACCCTGAAGGTGGCAGGTATGGCAGTGGCCTCAGGAGAGGGCTCTGGGACCTGGAAACCCCCATCTTAGAACAGGAACAGGACACTGGAACCTTCCCTGCTCCAGGTCTGGGGGTTAGGATGGTGGGAAGAGATATGGGGGCCTGGGGTCAGCTTGTACCCTGAGGCCCTGGTCCCTCTCAGGGTCACACTCTGGGTCCCCACTAGCCCAGGGCCCAGGCACCTCCCTCTCTCCTCCTCAGCCCTGACACAGAAACCGGACATCCACTTTCTGGAACCCCTGAAGTCTGGCTTCCCCCAAAAGCTGACCTGCAGTCTGCCGGGATTCTGCAAAGGGGGAAGACCTCTCACCTTCTCCTGGGTAGGGGGTGCTCTGGACCGGCTGGACCCCCAGACCCTGTCCTCCTCAGTGCTGACCCTCACCCCGAGGCTGCAGGACCATGGCAGCAACCTCACCTGTCGGGTGTCCCTGCCAGGAGCTCAGAGCGCCGTGGAGAGAACCATCAGGCTCAATGTGTCCTGTGAGTGCCGGAGGGATGCCTGGATCCCTCAGGGCAGTGGGGATTGTGTGAATTTGTGAATACCCTTTGGGAGGGTAGGTGAAGAGTCAACAGGGACAGTCATCCCCACCTTCCCTGTGTTCCCCAACCCCTCCCTGGGTGCTGGGTCTACTTCCATTCCAATCTTCACATCTGAAGCAGGGCCATATCTTTCCATCCTAGACGCTCCCCAGAACCTCACTATCAGCATCTTCTTCAGTGATGTTGCAGGTAGGAAATAATCTGTCTTCTTGGGGGGCTGGGACCTGGCCCTGACGTGGGGGTAGGGAGTCAGCTCCCAGCAAGAGGGTAGGGATCATAGATTGAATGGGATCAGATATGAGGAAAGCAAGGTTAAAAATCAGCACCCTAAACGACAAATACCCACCATTTGCTTCAACGTGGATGGAACTGGAGGGTATTATGCTGAGTGAAGTAAGTCAATCGGAGAAGGACAAACAGTGTATGTTCTCATTCATTTGGGGAATATGAATAATAGTGAAGGGGAATATAAGGGAAGGGAGAAGAAATGTGTGGGAGATATCAGAAAGGGACACAGAACATAAAGACTTCTAACTCTGGGAAATGAACTAGGGGTGGTGGAAGGGGAGGAGGGCGGGGGGTGGGGGTGAATGGGGGACGGGCACGGAGGGGGACACTTGACGGGATGAGCACTGGGTGTTATTCTGTATGTTGGTAAATTGAACACCAATAAAAATTAATAAAAAAAATCAGCACCCTATTTAAAAAAAAAAATCAGCACCCTCCCTCCTCCACATCCCATGGGTCCATGCACCTCTACTGTCATGTGCAAGCATGCACAAACACAGAATTCAAAGCCCATTTCACTTTACCAATGGCACTACTCTGGCACTCTTCCTACCCCTCCACCCCTATTTCCTGCTGTGTTCACTGAGTGAAGCCACCGGACACGGACAGTCCAGGCATGTCCTAGTGGGACACTGAGTTTCCCCTGAAGATATGAGGCCCAGACACTTGAGGTCAACCTCTTTTGGGTGTTAAAGCCCAGCTTTTCAGCCCTGATGGAATCAACTCAGTGGGTCAAGGAAGGAGAGGGAGATGCAATGGGATCCTGGGAAGGAGGGAGGGATGGAGACTGAGAGCCTGGAGACAGCTGATGCCCTGTCTCTCCCTCTCCCTCTCTTCATCTCTCTCCCAAAGCCCTGAAGATTCTGGAAAACACCTCATCCATTCTCATCCAGGAGAGCTGGGCTCTGCAACTGCTCTGTGCTGCTGACAGCAACCCCCCTGCGGAGCTGAGCTGGTTCCAGGGGTCCCCCGCCCTGAATGCCACCCCCATCTACAGAAGTCCCATCCTGGACCTGCCTCAAGTAGGGGTTGCGGAGGAAGGAGACTTCACCTGCCGAGCTCAGAACTCGCTGGGCTCCCAGCACGTCTCCCTGCACCTCTCTGTGGTCTGTGAGTGAGGGGACCTCTGGGGGCAGGACACCGGGGCCTGGGGAGCAGGGGCACCGCTGACCCCTTCTCCTCCCTCCCCCAGACCCCCCGCGGCCGCTCAGCCCCTCCTGCTCCTGGGAGGGCGAGGCGCTGCAGTGCACCTGCTCCTCCCACGCGCGCCCGGCCCCCACCCTGCGCTGGCGGCTGGGGGAGGGGCTGCTGGAGCGGAACCACAGCAATGCCTCCTTGACCGTCACCTCCAGCGCTGAGGGACCCTGGGCCAACAGCTCCCTGAGCCTCCGTGGGCCGCTGGGCTCTGGCCTCAGACTCAGCTGCGAGGCCTGGAATATGCACGGGAAACAGAGCGCCGCTGTCCTGCTGCTGCCAGGTCTGGGTGCTCTTGGGGGCAGAGGTGTGGGAGGAGGGAGGATCCTAGAAAAAAGGAAGCCTGAAGCTGAGGCGGGGGCCTGAACAGAAGGTGATTGGTGAGTTATGGTCTCCCATCTCTGGGGCCCAAGCAGGCCCTGCAGCACGTTCTGCGAGGAGCTAGGAAGACAAGAGATTGAGTGCTGATAGTGAGTTTCACACCTCTTCTCTGCAGGGAAATCGGTATTCCTGGCAGGAGCCCTGCCTGCAGCTCTTGGAGGTGCTGGTGCCACTGCTCTGCTGTTCCTATGTCTGTGCCTCTCCTTCTTTTGCATGTAAGTCTATGTTGGGGAACTACAGGGAGTGCAGAAAGAGGTCACTTAATCCTAGAAATGCAGGGTTGAGTAGAGTAGATACAGAGGGGGCCTTTTTGGGGGTGGGGGTGGGGGTGGGGGATATAACAATTTCATTGAGATGTAATTCCCGTACATTTACAGCATACAGTTCAATGGCTTTTAGTGCATTCAGAGTTGTGCATGCATTACCCCAATTATAGGACTCATCAGCCCTAAAAGAAAAAGAAACAAATGAAAGAAACCCTCCACTCCCTAATTTTCATCCTGCCCCCCCCCCAGCCCTAGGCAATCTCTTTTGTCTCTCTACATTTGCTCATTCCAGACACTCTGTATAGGTGGAATCCTACAACACACGGTGCTTTGTGACTGACCTCTTCCACTTAGCGTGATGTTTTCAGGGTTCATGCACGTTGTGGCATGCATCAGTATCCTGTCCTATTTTTATTTCCATATACCATCCCATCACATGGATGGAGCACATTGTATTGGTCACTCATGTATTGATAGACATTTGGGTTGTTTCTACTTTTTGGCTATCACGAATAACACTGCAATGACCACCGGGGCCCAAGTTTTTACGTATGAGAGAGTTCTTTAGTGATGGACATTTGGTCTGGCCAAATATCCACTCATCCAGGGGAATGGAGTGCTTACTTGCACATCAGGAAGGTCTGAGGCTGGTTCTGGGGTTTGGGTGCCATTTCACCAGGGAGCAGGCAGCCTGCCCATGTGTACCTGAGCCACCCTGGCTACAGGGTGCTGGTTTCTCCATTTAGAATGAAAGCCCGCAGGAAGCAGACATCTGGGAGTGGAGACGGCATGGATGATGAAGATCCTGTCATGGGTACCGCTGCCTGGGTGAGTGATGCTGGCATCTTCTTTCGCATGGGGGTGGGGATGGGGGCTAGGTTTGTCCATTCGGAGTCCAGATAGAGCTCCTCCGCATTTCCCCACCCCTGCTCCAGTCTGGCCACCTGGGAAGACAGCTGGGGATTGACTTCTCTTCTGTTCTTCCCCTTCATCTCCCAGACCCAGTGACCCTCTGGTCAACTCTTGTTCCACTCCTGCTGATCACTGAGCCCACCTCACCTCTTTGCTAGACACAGCCTGACAGAGCCTCTCCCAAAATCGATTGCTTTCCAGCCGTTCTGGAGTTTCAGTGATGTTGTCTATGCCCGTTGCTTAGAGAATTGAGTCACATTTCTTGGTCTGATGTTTATTTATTTATTTGTAAAGATTTATTTATTCATGAGAGACACACACAGAGAGAGGCAGAGACACAGGCAGAGGGAGAAGCAGGCTCCCTGCAGAGAGCCCCATGCAGGACTCGATCCCAGGACCCTAGCATCACAACCGAAGCTGAAGGCAGCCGCTCAACCACTGAGCCATCCAGGTGCCCCTGCCCTTCTATAAAATTGAGCCCGTGTTGCCCTAAATGGAGTTATCCAAAATACTTTATTCATGGCCAAGCTCTTATCATGGGAACAAGCATTGTTCACTTGTACTTACTCATTTTATTTGCAATATGATAAGCAACTGTGAACCCACCAAACACTCACCTCAAACACTGACCATAACTTATATCTGCTCGTGTTGCTCTGTGACATATCCCTTTAACCATTGCTCTGAATCTTCATTTGCTAGCGTTATCCCACATATATATGCCTGAAATATCTGCTATTCAGTTTAATTGCTTCTGAACCTGCAAAGGCTGTCACACTCTGTTTACTCCTCTTGGACTAGCTTTGCAGACTCGCCACTACTAGTGACGTCACGGAGATGCATCCATGTTGCATGAAGTTACAGTTGCCTGTTTCATTTTATGATTATGTCTATTGCCTAAGTTCCTGTGGGTGGACATTTGAGTTGCTCCAGATGTTTCTGTTCATTTCTCATTGCATTCACATGCAAGAATTTTTCTTCAGCATTATTTAAGAATTTGATTACTAGGTCAGGGGTATGTGAATGTTCCAATTTACAAGATCATGACAAATGGTTTTCCAAAGCAAATGAATGCATCCATTAATATACCCATCTGTGCCTATCAGATCCTGTTGATCTATAATATCTGCAGCACTTGATTTTCGGAATTTTTTTGTTGTCTCAATATAACTATGGTATTGATCTGCACTACATTCGTTCCAGTGAGGATGAAAATCTCTGTCTTCATTGGCATATGAACACCTCCTCTCTAAAGTGCCTGGTCCTATCTGCAGCCCATTTTCCTATTGGGTGTTTGACTTTCTTTCTTTCTTTCTTTCTTTCTTTCTTTCTTTCTTTCTTTCTTTCTTTCTTTCTTCTTTCTTTCTAGATTTTATTTATTTTCTTGACTGAGAGAGAGAGAGTGAGTGAGAGCACATGAGCAGGGGGGAGGGGCAGAGGCAGAAGGAGAAACAGATTCCCCACTGAGCAGGGAACCTGACATGGGATTCTGGGACTCGATCCCAAGACCCTGGGGATCATGACCCAAGCAGATACTTAACCAACTGAGCCACCCAGGAGCCTAGGTGTTTGACTTTCTTTTTTTTTTTTTAATTTTTTTTAAATTTTTATTTATTTATGATAGTCACAGAGAGAGAGAGAGGCAGAGACACAGGCAGAGGGAGAAGCTGGCTCCATGCACCGGGAGCCCGACGTGGGACTCGATCCTGGGTCTCCAGGATCACGCCCTGGGCCAAAGGCAGGCGCTAAACCGCTGTGCCACCCAGGGATCCCCGGTGTTTGACTTTCTTATTGAATTTATTGGAGAGCTTATGCATCTTCATACTAATTTTTTTCTTGGTCATACACACTATAAATAACTTTTCTCAGTAATTTGTCTTTACTTTTTAAAGGTGATCTTTGATGAATGTACGTTCTTAATTGTAATATAACCATATTCCCCAATCTCCTCTTTTTTGTTTAGTGACTTTTGGGTCTCATTTAAGAAGACCTTTCTTATTCTAAGATTAGACGGATATTCAAGTGTAGTTTTTTTTTTTTTAAGATTTTATTTATTTGGGATGCCTGGGTGGGTCAGAGGTTGAACATCTGTCTTTAGTTCAAGGCATGATCCTGGGGGCCCAGGACTGAGTCCCACATCAGGCTCCCTGCATAAAGCCTCCTTGTCCCTCTGCCTATATCTCTGCCTCCCTCTTTCTCTGTGTCTCATGAATTAATTAATTAATTAATTAATTAATTAGAGACACACACAAAGAGAGGCAGAGATATAGGTAGAGGGAGAAGCAGGTTCCTTTCGGGGAGCCTGATGCAGGACTCGATCCCAGGACTCTGGGATCACAATCTGAGCCAAAGGCAGATGCTCAACCACTGAGCCCCCCAGGTACATCCCTCAAGTATAATTTCTACTAAAAGTTTTATGTATTCCTTTGGACATGTAAAGACTTAATCTACTTGGAGTTGATTTTTGTGTAGGGTGCAGCGTTGACCTATATATGTTCCTCCTTTGTGTATGGAATAACCTCTCTCTTGCCCCTCTGCTGATCTGCCACACCACTCTGTCATACATCAAAATTCAGTACACATGTGGGCCTCTGTCTGTGGCCTCTATTCTATTCCAGTGGTCAATTTAACTGTCTGAGCCAGAACTATCTCTAGAGGCAAGGCAACCAATCTGTAGATTCAAGACCAAGTACTGATATCTGATAGAGCAGGATCCCTTCCTTAATTTTCTCTAATAGTGTCTTGGCTATTCTCAACCTTTTGTTCTTCTATTTAAACATTAGAATCAGGGATCCCCGGGTGGCGCAGCGGTTTGGCGCCTGCCTTTGGCCCAGGGCGCGATCCTGGAGACCCGGGATCGAATCCCACGTCGGGCTCCCGGTGCATGGAGCCTGCTTCTCCCTCTGCCTGTGTCTCTGCCTCTCTCTCTCTCTCTGTGTGACTATCATAAATAAATAAAAATTTAAAAAAAAAAAAAAATAAAATAAACATTAGAATCAGTTTGTCAAGTTCCCAATAAACACCCCTGTTGGTATTTTTACTGGAATTACATTGAATCTATAGATCAACTTGGGAAGAATTTACTTGTTTGTGAATTCAAGTCTTCTTGTCCACAAAAACAGGGATCTATTAGTTTAAATTTTTTTCAAAAAAGATGTAGGACTCCTTCAGACAGGTCTTCCTTTTGTTATTTTACTTCCTTAATGCTAGTTTTGTTACTATCATAAATGTTATCTTTTTAAAAATGCATTTTCTGGGACGCCTGGGTGACTCAGCCATTGAGCATCTGCCTTTGGCTCAGGGTATGATCCTGTGGTCCTGGAATCAAGTCCTGCATAGACCTCCCCACGGGGAGCCTGCTTCTCCCTCTGCCTATGTCCCTGCCTCTCTCTCTCTCTCTGTGTCTCTCATGAATAAATAATAAAATCTTTTTAAAAATGCATTTTCTGATCACTCATCAATGATATGCAGAATTAAAATATTTTTTTCAGAATTAAAATATTGATTAAAAATATATAAGCATTGGGACTTCTGGGTGGCTCAGTTGAGCAGCTGGCTCTTGATTTCAGCTCAGGTCATGATCTCAGGGTCCTGAGATGGAGCCCTGTACCAGACTCTGTGCTCAGCGCAAAATCTGCTTATAACTCTCTCTCCCTCTCCTTTTGCTCCCTACCCCAATTTGCAAGCACACACACTCTCTCTCAAATAAATTAATTAATTAAAAAATATTTACTACGAGGTGTTGAGATGCCTGACTGACTCAGTGGGAGGAGCATGCAACTTACGATCTCCAGGTCATGAATTCGAGCCCCACATTGGGTATAGAGATTACTAAAAAGAAGAAGAAGAAGAAGTAGAAGTAGAAGTAGAAGTAGAAGTAGAAGTAGAAGAAGAAGAAGAAGAAGAAGAAGAAACTTAAAAATTTTATAAAGTGTTTTAGAATTTTATAAAATTACAAATTGGCCTTAGGTGTCATTTAGATTCTTGTTTTGGTAGCTGGAGTGTTTTAGATCTATTCATAAGCATACTGCACCATGCTTTTACAGAGATAGAGATACCATCTGAAAAATTTGTGATATTCTGGTTTTTAACTGTCATGGCTTGCTGAACCAAGCAGCTGAATTTGATGCAAATATGTCATCATTATATTGAATTATATTAAATCAACTTGTCCTTTTGGATTGCACAACAGATACTACACAAGAAACGCCTGGCCTCATGCATCCTCTGCAGATATATTTTTCTTTTCTTTTCTTAGATTTTATTTATTTATTTGAGAGAGAGCGGCAGAGAGAGAGAGCACAAACAGGGGGAGGGGCAGAGGGAGAGAAAGAGAAGCAGGCTCCCTGCTGAGCAGAGAAGCACGATGGGGGGTGGGGGGTGGGGCCTCTTTTAAAGGACCTGGGGATCAGGACCTGAGCCAAAGGCAGATGCGGTCTAAACCGCTTAACCAACTGAGCCATCCAGGCACCCTCCTGTATTTTTCTCCTAAAAGATTTTGTATTTCAATAAATGACTCACTCTCCTGAATCAGTGATGGAGAAGTGAGCACACTCAGACTCTGTCCTCTGGTCACAGATGTTCCTGTAACATGGACTGTGGGTGGTAGGTGGTAACAGATTGAGCAGTAGCCAGTTCCTTAATTTATCTATACATCTTCTACTCTCTACCTTGGTGAGGCCCAACGCCCCTGCAGAGTTCTTCTGGGGCTTCACTGTAAATGTTCATCTCCTCACTGTGACACCCACCTCTTCGGAGTGCTGATCTGGGTGCTCAGAATTGTCTTCATTCTCTCAGTAGATGCAGCAACGCATGAAAAGCAATGACATGTTTATTGATCTTATATTTTCCCAGCTTGCTAAGCTCTCGTTAGTTTTTTTTTTAAAGAACTTATTTATTTATTCATGAGAGACACAGTGAAAGGCAGAGGCATAGACAGAAGAAGAAGCAGGCTCCCTCCTGGGAGCCCGGCAAGAGACTAGATCCCAGGACCCCAGGATTACGACCTAAACCAAAGGCAGATGCTCAACCACTGAGCCACCCAGATGCCCCAGTTTTGTTCTAAGATTTTATTTTTAAGGGGATCCCTGGGTGGCTCAGTGGTTTAGCGCCTGCCTTTGGCCCAGGGCGCGATCCTGGAGTCCTGGGATCAAGTCCCACGTCAGTCTCCCGTATGGAGCCTGCTTCTCCCTCCTCCTGTGTCTCTGCCTCTCTCTCTCTCTATCATAAATAAATAAATCTTTAAAAAAATTATTTTTAAGTAATCTCTATACCCAATGTGGGGCGTGAACTGACAACCTCAAGATCAAGAGCCACATGCTCTTCCAACTGAGCCAGCCAGGTGCCCCTAAGCTCTCTTGTTATTCTAATAATTTGTATATAGACGTGGAATATTTTTAACAGTTTTTTTCTTTTTTCTTTTTTTTAAGATTATTTATTCATGAGAGAGAGAGACAGGCAGAGACATAGGCAGAGGGAGAAGCAGGTTCCTTGCAGGGAGCCCGATGTGGGACTCAATCCCGGATCCTGGAATCAGGCCCTGAGCTGAAGGCAGGCCCTCAACCGCTGAGCCACCCAGGCATCCCAACAGGGTTTTTTTTTTTTCCCCCGATTTAAAAAATATCACAGGGCATCTGCTGGCTCAGTTGGAAGAGCATATGACTCTTGATCTCAGGGTTGTGAGTTTGAGCCCCACATTGGATGTGGAGCCCATTAAAAAAAAATTTTAAGTATCTTAGTTAGGGGCACCTGGCTGGCTCAGCAGGTGGAGCATACTACTTTTGATTTCTAGTTTGTAAGTCCACCTATTTTAGAAATATTGGATCTTCTCAGTGAATTGAACATTTGATCATATATCATGATCTTCTCTATTGAGACTTTTTGTTCTAAAGTCTATTTGGTTAGATTTTAATATAGATACAACAATTTGTCATTGGCTAGTAAGATGTCTGTTATATGTCCATCCTTTGTTTCTCCAGCAACATTTTATTTATGCTTCAAAAGTGATTTTCGTAAACAGTAGTATAACCAAGTTTTTTAAAAAAGAACTTTTCATTTTTAAAATTAAAAAAAATTTTTTAAAGATTTAATGTATTTATTCATGAGAAACACAGAGAAAGAGAGGCAGAGACATAGGCAGAGGGAGAAGCAGGATCCATGCAGGGAGCCCAATGTGGGACTTAAACCCAGGAATCCCAGGATTACGCCCTGGGCTGAAAGCAGGTGCTCAACCGCTGAGCCACCCAGGCATCCCTAAAAATTTTTTGAATTTTAAGTAGTCTCCACACCCAATGTGGGGCTTGAACTCACAATCCTGAGATTAAGAATCTCCTGCTCTCCTAATTGAGCCAGCCAGGTTTTTACAAATCCAATTTGACTTCCTCTATTTGTGTTTACTATGGTTATTAATACATGCGGTTTTCATTCTCCTATTTTACCTTTCCCTTTTGCTTGGTTCCATTTTTTTCAATATTTCATTTTCTCCTCTCTTAAAAAATCAATCTCTCCCTTATACCCAAGAAAGAACTTTAGTGTGCTTTTTATATCTCTCATGCTTCTTTCCCTACACTTTCTACAACGTTGCTGCTTTTTCTAGATCTTCATTTTTCACTCTGGATTATTATGAACATACCTAATATTTTTCTATTCTTTGGTATTTTGTTTAATACACAGTCACACATTTTACTGAGTCACACCTTTGTACCCCAGATTTATTGCAGCATTTTCAGGTTTTGTTACTTTTATCCTTTTTTTTTTTTTTATGATTTTTATTTATTTGACAGAGAGAGAAAGAGCACCAGCAGGGGGAGCAGTAGAGGGAGAAGGAGAAGCAGGCTGCCGGCTGAGCAGGGAGCTGATGGGCGGGGGGAGGGGCGGGGGGGGGCTTGATCCCACCACCCTGGGATCATGACCTGAGCTAAAGGCAGATAGATGCTTTAACCGACTGAGTCACCCAGGTGCCCCTGTTAGTTTTATTTGAATTCTTCCTCCCAATGTGCTTTCAATTTGGATTCTCTTGTATTAAGATTTCTGAGGACTTACGTGTTTGAAATTTTATGTAATGGTCCTATATTTGAGTTTCATTTGGCAGGTTATAAATTCTAGGATCAAAATGATTTTCCTTCAATGCTTTATTTTATTATTTTATTTTCCTTTTAAGTAATCTTTACACCCAACATGAGACTCAAACTCATAGCCTCAAGATCAAGAATCGCAAGCTCTACTGACTGAGCCAGCCAGGCACCCCCCTTCTTCCAATGCTTTAAACACTATATTTATTTTTCTTTTTAAGATATTGCTTATTTATGAAAGACACACAGAGAGAGAGGCAGAGACATAGGCAGAGGGAGAAGCAGGCTCCCTGCAGGTTGCCCGATGTGGGACTCCATCCCAGGATCCTGGGATTATGACCTGAGCCAAAGGCAGACCCCCTCAGTCACCGAGCCACCCAGGTGCCCCAACACTGAACTCTATTGTTTCTTTTTTTTCTTTTTAAGATTTTATTTATTTATTCATGAGAGATACACAGAGAGAAGTAGAGACATAGACAGAGGGAGAAGCAGGCTCCTCATAGGGGGCCCGATTTGGGACTCAATCCCAGGACTGAGATCATGCCCTGAGCCAAAGGCAGATGCTCAACTGCTGAGTCACCCAGGCATCCCTACTCTATTGTTTCTTGTACCTAGGGTTGCCATTAAGAAATGTAATGTCTGGGGGCTCCTGGGTGGCTTAGGTGATTAAGTATCTGACTCTTGATTTCAGCTCAGGTAATGATCTCAGGGTGGTAAGATTGAGCCCCATGTCAGGTTCTGTGCTCAGTGCGGAGTCGGCTTGGGATGCTCTCTCTCCCTCTGCTCCCGCTATCTTGCATGCTCCTTGTCTCTCAAAAAAAAAAAAAAAATAGGAAGAAGAAGAGATTTTATGTCTGTCTGAGTCTTGCACATTTGTAAGTAATCCACTCGTTGTCCCTGGAAACTTTTACACTTTTCTCTTTGAGTGCTCTCTTCGGCAGCACATATACACCTTTCTCTTTGGTTGTGATATTCTTAAGATTTACTATGCTGTATTAGAATATGTGGTGTTGGGGATCCCTAGGTGGCGCAGCGGTTTGGCGCCTGCCTTTGGCCTAGGGCACAATCCTGGAGACTAGGGATTGAATCCCACGTTGGGCTCCCGCTGCATGGAGCCTGCTTCTCCCTCTGACTGTGTCTCTGCCTCTCTCTCTCTCTCTCTCTCTCTCTCTCTCTCTCTCTGTGACTACCATAAATAAATTTAAAAAATTAAAAAAAAAAAAGAATATGTGGTGTCCCTGGTCTTTTTCCTTGTATTTGTGGGGACCTTTTCAGCTGAGGTAGTTTATCTTTCTTCAGTTCTGGGAATTTTATCTTCATTATTTTTGTTCAAGTATTTCCTCCTTTTTAAATTTCCAATAACACAGCAGGACTGAGTTTCTTTTCTTTCCTGGCTCTGCCAAGGAGTAACCTTCGGCAAGTAACTTCACCTTCCCCCACCTCAGTCTCCCTATCTGTAAAATGGTGAGAATAGATATTATTCCTACTGGGCTGTGGGTTTTTTTTGTGTGTGTGTGAGGATTAAATGTGATTAATAAGCTTCAATGTGGCCTAATAAGTTATAACATTAAATAATTTTATTTTATTTTATGATTATTTTTTGCCTTACAGAATTTTAAATGGATGAGTGAAGAGTTGAATTCATAGGAAGTGTGTGTGACTAGGAGGATGAATGAATAAATGTCCCATTAGCCTAACTTCCCTTGGGGACTACACCTGCCTTATTCCTTCTCTTACTCCTTTATTTCTCCTTTACTTAGGGTTCCAGGCAAAAGGCCTGGCCAGACAGCACCCAAGACCAGGCGACTTCTGCTGGGGATGCCCCTCCCTCGGGGGATCAACAGGATCTGCATTATGCCTCCTTCAGCTTTCATGAGATGAAGTTGAGGGAGCCTCAGGATGAGGAGGCCACCAGCACCGAGTACTCAGAGATCAGGACAAGCAAATGAGGACTGCTCAGAGCTTGGTGCTGGCCTGGGGAATCACAATCCCTGGGGGAGAGGAGTCAGGCGCTAAGTGGTGAAGCATGTGGAGCCCTGTGGCAATATGAACAGGAAAAACTGTCCATGTGTCTCCAGGCAGAGCTGACTTGGGCTCAAACATAGACTATCCAGCAAGTTGCTCCATTTCCCTGTGCCTGTTTCCTGTTCTGTAAATCAGAGATCATGCATCCTGCCTCAGAGGTGGTTGTGGACATTAAAGAAATTAACATGCAGAAATCAACCCACAGAGGTCCTGTCTCACCATGTGTGCTCCATGCCTCCTACTGCTATCTTCTTTGGACAGAAAGGTCCTGCTGGCAAGTTACCCTGAGGCTGGGGATGACCAGGCCTAGGGCTTGCTCATGCTCCTTCCCAGAACTCTTCAAAGCCTCCCAGGGAAGGACCAACCCCTTGACCTGCCATTTGCTTCATGATACAGCATCTTATCATCTCTGTCAGGTCTTCTCTTCATCCCACTTGTACCTGTCAATTCTTCCATCACATTCCTTCACCTCCTGACCTCCAGTCCCTTCCCTATGTCATTTATGGGCCTCACAGGGATCTGTCCAACAGCCAGAGAGCTGACCCTGGATCCCTTGCACAAACCCCTTCAAGGCTCCCTAGCCTTAGACAATACATAAGCATCTGGTACCCCTGGCATTTTTAAAAAGATTTTATTTATTTATTCATGAGAGACACAGAGAGAAAGGCAGAGCATAGGCAGAGGGAGAAGCAGGCTCCCTGTGGGAGCCCAATGTGGGACTTCCTCCCAGGACCCCAGGCTCACAATCAGAGCCAAAGGCAGATGCTCAACCACTGAGCCACCCAGGCATCCCTGCCCCTGGCATTTAAAGTCCATCATGACCTGACTGCTAGCTACTATTGAAAAAGAAACAACAGAGGCACCTGGGTGGCTCAGTCAGTTGAGCATCTGCCTTCGGCTCAGGTCATGATCCTGGGGTCTTGGGATTGAGCTCCTTGTCAGGCTCCCTGCTCAGTGGGGAGCCTGCTCCTCCCTTCCACTTGTGCTCTCTCTCTCGCTCTCTCTCATTATCTGTCTCTCAAATAAATAAATAAAATCTTAAAAAAAAAAAAGGAAAGGAAAGAAGAAACAGACCCAAAATGGAGACACTTGCCTCCATCACAGCAAACCAAGACTAACAGTGGTTTCAAGCTCTCCCAGAAATGTGCTTTTTAAACAGTGGATCTGAGGGGATCCCTGGGTGGTGCAGCAGTTTGGCGCCTGCCTTTGGCCCAGGGCACAATCCTGGAGACCCAGGATCGAATCCCATGTCGGGCTCCTGGTGCATGGAGCCTGCTTCTCCCTCTGCCTGTGTCTCTGCCTCTCTCTCTCTCTGTGTGTGACTATCATAAATAAATAAAAATAAATAAAAAATAAAGTTAAAAAAAAAAATAAACAGTGGATCTGAAATGTCCTGATCAGCACTGGTGAGGTCACCTGCAAGTTAATACCCTCCCCCCAAAAAGATGGCCCGATCTGAAAATACCTGCTTTCTTTTGACAATAACTCCCTTGCCCCACCCTCCTGCCTCTATAAACCTTCCACTGTGTACAGCTCCTCGGAGCACCTGTCTCTTTGCTGGAAGGGATGCTGACCACCTCATAAGTCATGGAATAAAGCCCGTTACATCCTCCAATTTACTTAGCTGAATTTCCTTCATTAGCACTGCTCATCTGCACTTCTCTCTGCTGTCTTCCTTACAACATCTGTGTTGTTCTGACCCTCTCCTGGAGACCCAGCCTCTCTGCTTCACCTGGCCAATGCTAGCTGGTCCTTCACACCTGAGTCCTTGCACAGATCCCAGTTGAGAGCCTGGACCAAAGAAAGAGCTCACTCTCTCCCTTTCTCTAAAGTGGGACTAATGTGTTATTTCTTTTCCACAAAGCACTAGAACAAAAACAGCCAGAACTTCACCAGTGGCACTGCAGTGCAAATGTCCAGCAACAAGCTTTTCTGATTGTTAAGTGCCTGACATTAAGCATTTCTACTGAGGTACAAAATGCAAATTTTTCTGGAAGGAGATGGGACAAAAAAGCTAGCAAAAGAAAAGGATTTGTCCCGGCTAGGCTGCTTTCCCTGGTGCTGGGAATTGAAGGTATGGGGTCTTCTGCACATTACCTCATCTTCCTTTGGGGATGGAAGGAAGATCCTTGTGTCAGATCATTGGTGCTGATCAAAAATTTCCTGACTGACCAGTTAAGACTACATTTCTGGGGGGGAGAGGGTGACCCACCCTGACCTTGACCTCAGTCTAGGTCAGGGTGACCTTTTTTTTTTAAAGATTTTATTTATTTATTTGACAGAGAGAGCACAAGCAGGGGGAGCAGCAGGCAGAAGGAGAGGGAGAAGCAGGCTCCCTGCTTAGCAGGGAGCCCAACTCAAGGCTCAATCCCAGGACATGACCTGAGCCAAAGGCAGCTGCTCAACTAACTGAGCCATCCAGGTGCCCCACCCCCGCTTTGTTGTAAGTAGGCTCCATGCCCAGTGTGGAGCTCAATAAGGGGCTTGAACTCATGACCCCTGGGTCAAGACTTGAGCTGAAATCAAGAATTAGACCCTTAATGACTGAACCACCCAGGTGCCCCCTCAGTACTTCTAATTGATTTAGTTCGTCCTTGCAGCTTATCTCTTAAGCAAAAGACCTTGTGGGCAAAGCATCCCGTGATGGGAACTGAAACTACTCCCTCAAGCAATAAAAACTGTCCTTTGCCTGTAAGACCTGGCATGACTGACCCAAAGACAATGATCCACCTGTCTTTTACTGCCCAGCGGCATGTCCTCACTGTCTTTTCCCTACATTTTCTTTCCTTTCCTTTTTTTAAGAAAAAGCTCAGAGATATGCTGGGGTGGGGATGGATGAAGGGATGTGGGGTGGGGGTTTTTGTGGGTAGGGGTTGGGGAGGGGAGGGAGAGAGAGAGAGAGAGAGAGAGAGAGAGAGAGAGAGAGAATCTCCAGTAGACTCTGTGCTGAGAGTGGAGCCCAATGTGGGGCTGTCTCACGACCCTGAGATCATGACCTGAGCCAAAATCAAGAGTCAGACACTTAACCGGCTGAGCCACTTAACCAGGCACCACCCCGCCCCCACTTTCCATATAGGAACCTAGGAATATTTTCAGCATTCTGGAGACAGTCTTTGAGATGCTAGTCTGCTGTCTTCCCAGTGTTGGCCTCCTTCAAGTAAATCCCTTTCTTGTTTCACCACTGCTTGTGTCTCTGCCTTTGGAGTCACTGAACCTGGTCTGTTTGGAGCTCCCAGAGCCCCCGCTCCCTAGTTATAGGAGGTTGAAACTGTAGTGAGATTATGTGTTAAGTTTCATTTTGGGGATTAAGCATAAATGACACTATTTTGTACCTGTGGCCTTTTTCTTTTAATTCCAGTATAGTTGGGATGCCTGAGTGGCTCAGTGGTTGAGCGTCTGCCTTCAGCTCAGGGTGTGATCCCGGAGTCCCAGGATCAAGTCCTGCATTGGGCTCCCTACGTGGAGCCTGCTTCTCCCTCTACCTGTGTCTCTGCCTCTCTTTCTCAGTCTCTCTCTCTCTCTCTCTCTGTGTGCCTCTCATGAATAAATAAATAAAATCTTTAAAAAAATTCCAGTATAGTTAACATATGATGTTATAGCAATTTCAGCTGTACGATATAGTGATTCAACAATTCTATACATTACTACGTGCTCATCATTGAAGTGTGTTCTTATTCCCTCACCTACTTCACCCATCCCCCCATCCACCTCTGCTCAGGTAACCTTCAGTTCTCCATATTTAAGAGTCTGTTTTTGGGGGGCTCCTGGGTGTCTTGGTTGGTTGAGCATCTGCCTTCAGGCCAGGTCATGGTCTCAGGGTCTTGAGATCTAGCCCAGAGCTGGGCTCCCTGCTCAATGGGGAATCTGCTTCTCCCTCTCCCTCTGCTTCTGCTATCTCTCTCTCACTCTCTCAAATGAACAAATAAAATCTTTTTTTAAATCTTTTTTGGTCTTTCTTTTTTCTTTGTTCATTTGTTTTGTCTCTCAAATTCCACATGAGTGAAATCATATGGTAATTGTCTTTTTCTGACTGATTTATTTCACTTAGCATATACCCTCTTGACCCATCAATGTTGTGCAAATGGCAAGATTTCATTCTTGTTTATGGCTTGTATTTCATTGAGTGTGTGTGTATGTGTGTGTGTGTGTGTGTGTACCATGTCTTCTTTATCTATTCATCTATCAGTGGACACTTGGGCTGCTTCCATAATTTGGCTATTTTAAATAATGTTGCAATAAACATAAGGGTGCATGTGTCCCTTTAAATTAGTGTTTTTGTATTTTGGGGGTACTCAGTGGTCAGTGGTGGAATTACTGGATCATATGGTATTTCTATTTTTAAAATTTTAAAAATATTTCATTTATTTATTTGAGACAAAGAGAAAGAGAGAATGAGTGGGGAGGGGAGGGGCAGAGGGAGAAGCAGACTCCTTGCTGAGCAGAAAGCCTAATGTGGGGCTTGACCACAGAGCCCCAGAATAATGACTTGAGCCAAAGGCAGACACTTAACCAACTGAGTCACCCAGGTGCCACTATTTTTAATTTTTTTGAGGAACCTACATACTGTTTTCCAAAGTGGCTGCACCAGTTCACATTCCCACCAACAGTGCATGAGGGTCCCTTTTTCTCCACAGCCTCTCCAACACTTGTTGTTTCTTGTGCTTTTTGGTTTTTGAGGGAGAAGCAGGCTCCCCACAGGGAGCCTGATGTGTGACTCAATCCCAGGACCCCGGGATCACGACCTGAGCCAAAGGCAGATGCTCAACCACTGAGCCATCCAGGTGCCACTGTTGGTTTCTTTTTAAGTTTATTTTGTTTTAGGGGTACATAGGTGGCTCAGTCAGTTAAGTGTCTGCTTTCGGCTCAGGTTGTGATCCTGAGGTCCTGGGATGGAGCCCCATGTTTGGCTCCCTACTCAGTGGGGAGTCTACTTCTCCCTCTCCTCCCCCCAGCTTGTATTCAATCTCACTCTCTCAAATAAATAAATAAATAAAATCCCTGAAGGAAAATGTTTATTTTGTTTTAGTAATTTCTGCACCAAACATGGGGCTCAAATTCGTGATCAAGAGTTGCATACTCTCTGACTGAGCCAGCCAGGTGCCCGTTTTGTATTTTTGATTTTAGCCATTCTGACAGGTGTGAGACGAATTTTTTTTTAAGATTTTATTTTTACATAATCTCTGCACCCAAGGTGGGGCTCAAACTCACAACCTGAAATCAAGAGCCACATGCTCCACCAACTGAGCCAGCCAGGTGCCCTGGTTTTGTTTTTGTTTTTTTTTTTTAAACAAATTTCTGCACATTCTTCCCCCTCATGCTCTGCTTCTTCCCCAGTCCCCTGCTTCTCCATAGCTGGCCTAGCATTCTCAAAAACTACCCTCTCTGTAGGTCACACTGAGACCTTAATTCTCAGTGGAGGCCTGATGAGCTTGGAAGCTTCCCTAGGATATGAAGTTCACTGGGGAACTTCCTCTTCTAGAGACATTCCAGTGGCAAATGCTAAGTGAAATCTACTCTGTCACTACTGGTGAGCATGCTGCATGTCTATTAGCAGCAGAGTCTCCTGAACCAGTTGGAAGATGGCATAGAGGCTGGTCCTTGAAGACATGATCTTCACCACTTTCGATTCCCTCTCCTTTTTTTTTTTAAATAAGATTTTATTCATTTATTCGTGAGAGACAGAGAGAAAGAGAGAGAGACAGAGAGAGACAGAGAATGAGAAGGAGAGAGAGAAAGGCAGAGACACAGGCAGAGGGAGAAGTAGGCTCCATGCAGGGAGCCTGACGTGGGACTCCATCCTGGGTCTCCAGGATCAGCCCTGGGCTGAAGGCAGGTGCTAAACCACTGAGCCACCCGATCTGCCCTCGATTCCCCCTCCTATGAGGGTTTCACCTTCTGCTGTCTGCTGCCATGTGTTCTGATTATCGTATGATGGTCTCTATCCCTTATAAATAAAACACCTCCCCAGTGTGGGTCATCTGCTTTTCTGAGACTAGAATACAGTGGATTCAGGAGTCACTCTATGGTATCAAGCACGTGTAGGTCGCAGCCCAGCCTCCA